CGATAGCACATAAAAACAACAATTTTAAATCTTCTTTTCTTTTTAAGTATCTTTGCTTTTACCTTTACCAAGTTTTGTTTCATGCCACAAAATGATTTAAAATTTCATCTGTACATAGTGTTGCATGTCCCAATGGCTTATTTCTAAGTAATATTCCATTGTAGTCCAAAATGTTATTTATTCACTTAGTAATAGGTTAGCTCCACTTTTGGTCATAATTATTCATATATAAATCTTTATGTACACTTTTTTGTATCTCTTCACTGACTTTGGGGATGGAATTTCTAGATTATTCTTCTTTATTAATGTAGGAATTTATTGCTAAAAATTTTCCTCAGAATTATGCCTTCATTGCAAGTCATGGGTTTTGATTAAAAAAAGCAACTTTTTCGTGTGTTTCTTGTAAATCATGGGAATTTTGAAATACATTCTACCTTTTTTCTCCCTTTGAATTTCTCATGATGTATATATATTGGTGCATGTGATAATGTTTCATACATTTTTCTTGGCTTTGTTCATTTCTTCAGTTCCATTACTAGTTTGGTTCTTTTTTATATTTTATAATTTGCTACTGAATTTTTTTTACTTTGTTTCCTGATTTCTTTTGGTTCACTATTCATATGCTTTCTATTAGCTCATTAAAAATATTTACTATTGTTTTTTTAAAAATCCTCTAGTGGAGCCCCACTGGCCCAGTGGTAGGAAGCTGTGCTGTAATCCTGAAAACACATGGTTCAATTCCACCAGCTGCTCCACAGGGAAAGGACGGGCAATCTCCTCCTGTGCAATTAAACTGCCCCTAGAAACCTGCTGGAAGGTCAGCCATGAGTCTGGTCTGACTCAACAGTACCCAACAACATAGTTTAATGCATTGGATTGTTAAATGAGAAGTTGATAGCTGAATTCTATCAATTGCACAGAAAACCATGGACAGTCATCGTAAGTCAGATTCTAAGAGAAAGTCTGGGTTTTGATTTGATATTTTGTCCTTGGATAGCAGATATGGTAAGGCACACAACTAAGAGTCTAGAATTGGTAGTTGTAACCTACATAGACCACCACAGAAGATAGGTCTGAAGACTTGTCAGAGAAGTCAGAACCTTGAAATCTCCAGATTAGGAACAGTCTTATTCTGCATAGTATACTGCACTGCAACCAAAAATAATTTTTTCCTATTATCTGGGCTTCCATAGAGCTTCTTTCTATCTATATTGTTATTTCTAGTGAATCATGCTTTGTATTTCTTTTGTTGTTGTAATTTTTTGTTGAAACTAGAACAATTGACTATCTACTGTGATTAATTCTTAAGACAAATTCTTGTCTTTGCCCAAGGATTGCATCTGTGTGTGTATTTTCTTTCTCCTAAATGTTCAAAACTTTAATGGCCTATCTTTTCAACAATATCATCTATTGCTGGAATAACTGTCCTCCAAATTATCTGTGGATCCAGAGTTAATGTCCTCCCAGTGCTTTGAGGAAGGATAAACATAAACAAGAATACAGAAACTATGGTATTCTCTCACTCCTCAGGTATTGCTGTTACTACTTGTAGGTTGTAATTCACTGTTGTGTGTCTTCCACGCATGTTTCCATTTTATCTCTACAATAAGTAACCTGACTGATTCCACTAGAGGGCGCTCATGTATTCTGGAACTACTGGAAGAAACAGGTTTACTAAGGGTCAAGACCTTCACAATCACCTGTGCTTCTCAGGGTGTCTCTTGACCAAGTAACCTGCACAGACCATGTAACTTCAAAATTTGAGGATAAGGTAGTCATTGCCTGTTCTGGCAGTATACATAGTTCACCTCATAAAGAACCAATCTTGGAAACTGTGAATTAATTCACTAGCTGAACGAAAAGCCTGAATTCCCCCACCCCTCAGAGTATCAAAAGAGTTCCAAGAACTCTCAAAAACTAGATAATCAGAGAGATAGGTGTAACTGTGGAATTTACTACTTCACAATTTTATCTAATTGCATTTGCTTTTAGATTTCTAACTTTTCAAAGAAATTCTCAGATCTATTTCTTAGAATTCTTAGAAGCAAGCTTACTATGTCCAGCCATTATACTAATTATTCTCAGGCAAATCAAAGAGGCTACAGCCAGCAGGTATCTTGCTACTTCTGTAACGACTGTACTTTCTCATCTCTTTCAAAGACTCAAGATTGAGCTCAAGTATCATACAACAACTCCTAAGGAAAACTAAACATGAAACTGCGTAACAGGGCAAAATGTACAGAGTAAGTCACAAAATGACAAATATTGTATAAGATCAGTGTTATAAAAAACTAAGAAAAGGTTTACACACAGATAGTTATTAGAGATGAGGGTAGAGGAGAGTAAAATTTATTCAATAAATAAATGTAATAGATAGAGGTGGGTGGATACTAAGATTAAGTGAGAGAGAGCACTGGTGGCCCAGTGCTAAAAAGCTGCACTGCAATCCCAAAGACAAGCAATTCGAGTCCACCAGCTGTTCCATGGGATAAGGACAGGCAACCACCTCTCGTGTGATTAAATGCCTCTGAAAACCTGCTGGAGGGTCAGCTATGGGTTGGTTCTAACTCGAAGGTACATGACAAGAAGAAGATAAGTGATAGGGGAGAGGGGAGCAAAAAGTTCAACAAAGCATGAATGGAAATCCAAAATCTCTGTAAATGTTCATTGAAATTAATAATTTTAAAAAAAGAAGATAAGTGAACAGAAAGGCAGTATCTCCTGCTTTCTGACCGCCATTATCAACCCAGTATCACTAAAAGATGGGAAGACACAGAAAGAAATATGGCATTATTCACCACTGCAAGAAATATGGCATTATTCACCACTGCAAGAACATGGAAATGGCCCAATGTGTAACCACAACTGAATGGATTGAGAAATCGTGGTACATTCACACAATGGAATACAATGCAGCACTCAGGAGAAATAATTTAGAAAAATATTACACAACATGGGAGACTGGAGAGCCTATTCTGTGTGAACTCAGTCTCATAAATACTAAATAATACTATTATTATAAAAATAGAATAATGAGTAAAACATGTTTGGGTACCCGAGAGGGGAAGGAAGATGGATGGGGGTGAAACCACAGGGTTCCAAAATTTGGTGGGTGAAGGGACAGGGTAAAAGAAATGAGAAGATCTGTCAAGGATCTGAAAAGACCTAGTCATAATGGGCATAGTCCAATGAGGATTTTATAAAATATAATGCATAGAAATGATTATATGAAAATATAAGTGAATGAAGATTAATGTGAAACACAATGTACATAAACTTTGTAAGTAAACAGATATAAACTAAACATTAAAAAAAAGAAAAAAATTGAAGGAAATCAGTACTCCAAGAAGTGAAAATGTGCAGTTACATTGATGGTTCTGAAATTAATATCCCTGAACAAAACATGTATGAATAGTTGAATGAATGAAAAGTTAATGTGCTTTCACTCAAATCACAATTTAAACCTATAACCAGGAGAGAATAAAATAGATGAATGGGACCTTCTAAAAATCAAATCCCTGTGCACATTAAAAAAACTTCTCCAACGGGAAAAAAGGAAAATCACAGAATGGGAAAAAATATTTGGTAATGACCTGCCTGATAAGGGACTTATATCTAGAATTTATAGGCTATTCCAGCAATACAACAAGATAAAGGTAAACAACCCAACTGAAAAATGGGCACAGGATATGAACAGACACTTCACCAAAGATGATATTCAGATGGCCAACAAACACATGAAGAAACTCTCAAAATCCCTAGATCTAAGAGAGATTCAAATCAAAACAACTATGAGATATAATCTCACCCCAATAACCACTGCCACCCAAACAGATAGATGCACACTTCTGTTTACTGTGTGTTTTTCACAGTAGCGAAGAGATGGAAGGAACCAAAATGCCCAGCAACAAATGGACAGAGAAGCTGTGGTATATTCACATACAAAGATTTCATAAAATATGCAAAATGCGGGACCCAGGATGACATTATGTTCAAAGAAATATCTTAGTCACAAAAGGACAAATACTGAACAATGCCACTGTTATAAAAACAGGACTGATATGGGCGTAGGGGAAGAAACTGCGAAAAGAGGGAATAAATAATGTACACTGCATTGAAACAGATGAGGGATATTTTAAAGGAATATATGATTAGGTAATGTATTATTTCCATTACAACAGTCAGAACAACAGCTGGTATAAGATTAGGCATATTTCACTGTGCTGTATAGGGTTGCTATAAAGTAGAGCAGACTCTAAGGCACCTAACAATACCACAACAATGCAGCTGTCAGTCTTCATATATTTCCATAATCTTTTTACTCTATTCTTTTACTTTCCCCTTTGATAGAATTGACACAGAGAGACAATTCACAAAATAAAATTTGGCGTAATATTTTCAAACAGTTTTGTTTCCTAGGGGCTACTGATATCTTCAAAACAATGAAGCAATTTAACTATAATAAAAATTTTTTTCTTTTAAGAAACAGCCTAGATATCCAATGAAAATTGAATGGATTGATAAATTATGGTACACGCACACAATGGAATAATATGTAGCACACAGGAGCAATGATTTTGTAAATTACTACCTAACTTGGGATGGACTGCACTATGCTGAGAACAGTGAACTAACTCAGTCCCACAGGACAAGTACTGTATAAAACCATTATTGTAAAAGCAAACAAACCATTACTGTAGAATGAGTATGAGGACCCAAGGGCTCCAGAGACGGTGGAAGCAGAGGGGTGAGGATGGGTGGGTGGGAGTGTGTATGTGTGTGCGTTAATGATAGGGTTGTACAATCTTACAGGGAGGGTGAAGGAAATGGGAAAATTGTTTTGTGAAAAATTGTATTTGAACTGTGTAAATAAACCACTATAATAACTAAAAAAAAAAAAAAGCCAGCTGGATTAAATGTAGTTATATTGTGATTATACTGGCTAATAATCTAAATGATAATCAAATCATGCTCATAAATATTTCACCAAGTGCTAATACCTCTCCAGAAATCCCAATGGCTTCTTCTGCAGCTCCATACTGACCAATCTGTCCATTCTGCAGTCGTTCTAAAAGCTCCAGTAAAGCAAAATTTTTTTTCAATCCCCAGACACCTGAATCTCCTAGAATATAAAGAAACTAAATCAAACAAAATATCATTTATTTACTTCAATAATAATTTGTAAATGATATCATTTAATAGTTCATAAGGGTCTACTGACACTGCAGGCTTAGCATTGGAATGTTACTCAAAAGTTGGTGGTTTGAACCTGCTAGCCAGCAGTCTGCTCCTATAAACACTTAAGAGCCTCAGAAACCTGCCAAGAAAGTTCTGTAGGGTCCTATGAGTCGGAAGTAACTAGGCAGCTGTAGATACAGTGTAATCACTATACAAAGTCAAATTTTATCCCTTTTCTTTTTAAAAAAATTTATGTATAAATCCCAATTTTTTAAAACCTTTTTCTTGAGTAAAAGTTTGCAAATCATACTACGTTTAGATTAAATCATTCACAGCTATTCTGTTTGACAACATTAATAAAAAGTCAAATTATTTTTCATTTTATGTTAAATTAATGTCTTTGAGGAGGACTGTGGCCTAGTGGATGATGAAATGCCAAACCCAAGTCAGGTAGGTTGGAAATCACCAACTGCACTGTGGGAGAAAGACAAATAATCTCTTCTTATTAGATTCATAGCCTCTGGAAACCTGCTAGGGGATCTGCTATTATTTGGCTCTGAATATAAAGCAATGAGAGCAAAATGTCCTTTTAAAATTCTCTTTTAAAGAAACATACAATTCCAAGTAAAAAATATTTTTAAATTATTACTTGTATAATTTTTAAAAACCTATTCTGTCACTGACTTTTGCTGTTAATACTAAAATATGGACTTCAAATTTTTTGCACTCAAACACATTAAGAAATTCTGCACAGAAGAAACTGAAACTCTAGTGGTAAAGTATATTAAAGATTTGGATGTTAATCGAAAGGTAATTCAAATCTACCAAATATTCAGTGATAGTTTTAGCAGTCGGCTTCCATAAAGATCTAACCTACCAGAGCTGATCTACTCTGCCCTACTGTAGCAACTGTTGCTGTTGTGTGCCGTCAAGTTAAAACTGACCCATTGTGGACACTCCTGTGGGTTTTCAGAGGCAGTTCAAAATGCACGGGAGGAAACTGCCCATCCACCTCTTGTAAAGCAGTGGGTGGATTCAAACCACATACCTTTAGGATTGCAGTGCAGTTTGTTACCACTAGGTAACCATCACTATGAACCGGAATTGACTTAATAGCACTGACTTTCAATGGGACAGTAAGAAAACACAAATTTACACCAAAATGGACAGTAAGAAACACAATTTACACCGCAATTTAGGTCAACACACAAACAACAGAAACAAATATTTAACAAAGTATTTGCAGAACAGATTATCTGGGAGGCTGGGCTCTATGAGGAGAAATGTGGGGTCAGGATTCGTGGACGATTTATCAACAATCTGCGTTATGCGGATGACACAACCCTGCTTGCTGAAACTGAGGAGGACCTGAAGCGCCTGCTGCAGAGTGTCAAGGACTGCAGCCTACAATATGGATTGAGGCTCAATGTCAAGAAGACAAAGATTCTCACCACTGGACCAATTGGCAGCATCAGGATGGATGGTGAAGAGATTGAGACTGTACACAGCTTTAGTTTGCTTGGCTCCATAGTCAACAGTCTTGGCACCAGCAGCCAGGAAATTAAAAGGCGCATTGCCAAGGGAAAGTCTGCTGTTAGGGACCTCTCCAAGGTGCTGAAGAGCAGTGGTGTCTCTCTGGAGACTAAGGTGCGTCTGATACAGGCCATGGTCTTCGCAATCACCTGTTATACATCAGTGACTAGAAAGGATAGAAGAATTGATGCCTTTGAGCTGTGGTGCTGGAGAAGAGTACTGAGAATGCAATGGACTGCTAGGAAAACAAATAGATTTGTCCTGGAGAGGGTTAAACCAGGTGGCTCCTTGGAGGCAAGGATTCTGAGGCTCCGTCTAACTTACTTTGGACATGTAGTGAGGAGAGACCGGTCCTTAGAGAGGGACATCATGCTTGGGAGGGTGGAGGGACGGCGCAGGAGAGGAAGGCCCTCTATGAGGTGGATTGATTCAGTGACTGGGATAATTGGGATGGGAGTGTCAGAGACAGTGCGATTGGCACAGGACAGAGCGGAGTTTAGGGCTGTTGTACATAGAGTCGCTATGAGTCGCAGGCGACTCGACGGCACATAACAACAACAACAACAACATTTAGAAAATTATCCTTGCAATAAGCATTTACTATTTTTTCCACACTATTTTCTTTTTTAAGTTAGTGTTCCTTATCAGTTAAATTGCTCTCTTAGCCAAATGAGTCATGATCATTAATAAAAACCATGATATAAGAGAAACATTTCAATCTACAAAAAACTTCATTTGTAAGTAAACTGAAATTAGAACAGCTAAAAGCAGTATTTTTCCCCACCCCTTCTCTAATCTGCAGAAGTAAATGATTAAACTCCTTCTCACACAAACCACAGAGCCAATACCAAAGCAAGATAATAATCCCTACCGTGTAGCTAAGACTGTAGGCACTTCTGAATAAGGACCAATACTTCTCTTATCCTAAATCCTTGAATGTATGTTCAAATAAGTGTTTTTATTTGAAACATAGCTGTTACCAAACATGTCTATCTAATAAATATACAAAAGGGAGTTATTTGCAGTAGAGATTGCCTTCCTTTTAGATTTTTTCTTGAAACAGCAGCCATTTCTTATTATCTCAAAAATTTATTTCAAATTGGGGTAAATTATCTTCCTCTCTAGCTTCTTCAACCCCCTCTCCTAACTGTGAAAACAACACTATTAACTTAGTATCTTAAAATATCAACACAGTGCCTTAAAAGATCAACTTAAAAATCATGTAACATCTCAGGGTGCTGAAGAAGCAGCAAGAGATGCTCTATTCCCCAACTCTACTCACTGAAGAATACAGATCATTGAGACTTCAGCACCTGGAGCATCTCTAGACAAAGCAGCAGAAAGAAATGCCTACAGTTTTTAGAAAGAAAAAGAAGAAAGATCTATAGCAGATAACTAACACTTCTTAAACAGTAAAGTGGTAACTATTTCACTTCTGTTTATACTTCACTATTAAAAAGGAAATCTATACAACTATAGATAGAAATCCATGCACAACTAAACCTAACTATAAGACACGTGTAAATTCTCATGTAGACAGAAAAGGAAAACAAGAGCAGTATTAACAACTACCACATGCAATTACTGATATTCTTCTTGAACTTGAATTCTCATTATTTTTCATACAAAGTTTATCTTCTCTCGAAGGAGGAATTACAAATCATTCTTTTCCTTCTTAGTAATTTTCTGTATCTTCAAATTTCCTGCAGGACATTGACATTACTTCTACTATGCAATTTTTTTTAAAAAAATTAAATTAATAATTCAACTATACTATGGGTCACAGGTATATAAATTATAATCTTTATCCAAGGCAAATTTGTTTGCTTTAATGTTGATACTGTATTATCAGTCAAGTTTGATTTTAACACTGGATATAATTAGTCACACTCCTGTCATAATTCCTGGTTCAATTAAAAACTTGAACGGACAAAAACAAAAAAGTTTAACATCATACATACACACACACACAAATAAAATAATTCAAGGTCAAACAAAAGAATCTCAAAATAGAGAAATGTTCCTCAACATTATTTCTTGTCTAATAGTACCAGCAACCAGGAAATCAAATGACAAATTGCAATGGGAAAGTCTGCTGTCAGGGACATCTCCAGAGTTCTGAAGAACAATGATGTCAGTCTGGAAACTAAGGTGCATCTTGATCAAGACCATGATCTTCACAATGCATTGGAAAGCTGGACAATGACTGTGCATGATAGAAGGACAATTGATGCCTTTGAGCTGTGGTGCTAGAGAAGAGTATTGAACATACCATGGACGGCTAGGAGAACAAATAGATTGATTCATCCTAGAGAGGATGAAATCAGGCTGCTCCAGGAAGGCAAGGATTCTGAATCTTCGTCTGACAGACTCTGGGATGTTGCAAGGAGCAACCAGTTCTTGGAGAGGGACTTTATGCTTGGGAGGGTGGTGGAACAAAACAGAAGAGGAAGATCTTTGGTGAAATGGATTGCTTCAGTGACTGGAATAATGGGGGTAGGTGTGTCAGAGACAGTAAGGCTGGCTCAGGATAGAGCAGGGTTCAGAGCTGTAGTACATAGGATTGCTATGAGTTACAGGTGACCAGATGCCACATAACAACAACAACTAGTATCTAGTGGGAGAAGGATGGGTAATCTCCCCAGATGCGATTAATTGCCTCTGAAGAGTAAACTATGTGTCAGTTCCAACTCAACATTAAAATAACAAAAGTAACTTATCCTTCATAGTACTGTTTAGGTGGGCAACTGAGTTTATTACTGAATTATTCAAATACCACTAAACCTTTTCTGTTGCTGTTGTTAGGTGTCATCGAGTCAAGTACAACCCTTAGTGACCCTATGAACAAGTCAGAACCCTGTCCTATCATGTGCCATCCTCACGATCTCTGAAACACTTAAGTTCACTGTTGTAGTCATTGTGTGAATCCATCTCACTGAGGATCTTCCTCTCTTTAGATGATCCTCTACCATTCTAAGCATGATATCCCTTTTGAAGGAATAGCCTCTCCTAGCAACATGCCCAAAATACAGGAGATAAAGATTTGTCATCCCTGCCTCTCTGGAGCACAATGAATGAATTAACTTTCCAAGATATATCTGGGGTAATTTTGACAGTCCATGGGCTAGTCAGTGCTCTTCCCCAACACCCCAACTCAAAGGCATCAATTCTTCTGTCATCCGATTCACTGTCCAGCTCTCAAATGCATAGCAAGTGACTGAAAAGACCACGGTCTGAATCAGGCTAACCAAACCTATAAATGATACTCTTCTTAAGACCAAGCTTACCATGAATAAACCTAAAACAAACTGCAGAGCAACATAAGTTAGTCATAAAAGGGCAATATATTACCACTTTCATAAAAAACTAAAGAAAAAAAGGGAAAAAAATAGAAAAAAAGGGGAAAAAAAGAACAAACAAAAAAAAAAAAACAACTAAAGAGAAGTTTATACACAGAAACAATCCTGGAAGTTTAATAGGTATAGGAAGAGATATAGAGGGGAGTAAATATTAATAGCTGAATTGGGACATATAGTAAGAGGTTGATTAGACATTGTAATAAAAAATCAATTAATTAATGGTAACAAATGTACAAAATAGAACATCTATGGACAACTATGAAGAATCAAACGAATATAAACATTAATTCAGCTTTTCAAAAATTAAAAAAAAAAAAAGATGTTTCTGGATAATCTTGCTTTCTTTATTTGGTAGCTCAATTATTCTGAACCTGTTTTGCTTGAAATATAGCATGAACACATTGAAGAAATATTTAAACAAAAAGTGTTCCTACCTGGGGAAAAAAATAGAGACCTTAAAAATACATATATTGGAGACAACTTCTCTAAAAAGAGAATAAACTTGTAGAAGTTCTGTTTGTAATTACCCAAATTATTTCTAAAAATGGTATCTCAAGGCAGTAACTCATTTTAAAATATATCAAGTTAAAAAGGTAGGAAAAAGCAAAATAATTTACAAGATCTCTAAAATAAAATTTTAATAGGAAATAAGATAGCTATCCCAAGTGTCAAATAATCTTTCAAGTGAATAAAAAGTTATAAAATGTAATTACCTCTATTTTGTCATTCAGTTTTTTAAAAAAGTTGTATAATAGACATTTAGGAATTTAGATTAAGAGGAAAAAAGAAAAAACAATAGCAGTAATATGGAGCTGTGAGGAGGCTTTAGTTAAAAAGTAACTGATTCCCTTAAGCAAACTTGGTTTCCCCTAAACTTATTTAAAAATAATAATAAAAAATTATTGAAAATAATGGCTTTAGATAATAATTTACTAAGATTAATATTCACATTTTTCTTTTGCCTAAAGAATACATGTTTCAAATGTCTTAAAACTTCACATACAAGTACTAAGTATAAATATCTCAGAAAATGAAATAAAATTAGTCACTGATATTTGGCTAGTTTATATATGTAAGACTAAGACATTAATGATAGGGATTAAGGAATTGCATTGCCAATGCTAAAGGGATGTGGTTCAAATCCACCAGCTGCTCCATGGGGAAAAGACAAGAAATCTTCCAAACAATTTACTGCCTCTGAAGCCCACTGGAGGGTTCTGCTATGGGTCAGTTCTGAATTGACAGTATACAACAACAACATTAATGCTACCCAGACTTTTTGAAATCCCCATGTCATTTTATTACTTTAAATGTCAAGTGGCAAGAAATTGCTTATTATTATATCTGTACTAGGTAAACACTATAAAATCTTAAATACACGCATGTAAATTTTCCCACCTAGGTCTGTCACTTGACGGTCAAATGGGCAACGAATGGCTCTTCCATGAAGAGGTAGGCGGGTAAGGCAGTCGTGACAGACTGTGTGGCCACAAAGCAGAAGACGAGGTACTTTGTCTCCTTGCAAAGAAAACACATCTTCACACACCCCACATTCAAGCACCTAATATTTAAAAAGAGAACATGTGCATTATTAACAATTTTAAAGGCATACATGTTTTATGTTAACAAAAACTGATATAATAAATTAAATCAAACTTCTTAGACAAATTACTCCAAGGGGAGAAAATTCTTTTGTAAAATCTTATTATATTTTAATTTATTCCTTCTCACCCTTTCAAAATTATATGATAGTGAAATCTCTGAAATATTCAGTGTTCAATATCTGCAAGAAAACATCTTTACTATTTGAAAAAGGCTACTTGACCCTGTAACACCTGGATCTGTAACACTAATAAATGTAAGTATTAAGGAAATTTGAATATTTAAACTATTTGTTAACTGCCCAACCCTCAGTAAATGATTATTAATTTGTGCTAAAATTACTGGAAGTTTATGCTAGGATCATTTATCTTCATAAATTATAAAGAATTTAAGAAAAGATAACAAGTACTTTCCAAGATCTTTTAGTATCCATTTACTCATACAACAGACAAGAAAGAACCATTTAGGCTTTTATTTTTATTCCTTGTTCTTTGAAATAAATATGGCTTTGGGTTAGGAAATATGTTGTCCATTTAGTTTCACTCAAAAGTAAATGACTTATCCAAGGTCACAAACTCAGTATTAAAAAAAAGTGCTATCATCAGCATTTCTAATATTCTTGAACCTATTGTTATGATCATTGTCTCAATCTATTTCACTGAAGGTCTCCTACAATAATCCTCCACCTTTCGAAGCATGATGCCCTTCTCCAAAGATTGGTCCCTCCTAACAACATGCTCAAACTATGTCCCCATCCTTGCCTCCAAGCAGCACCTTGGCTGCATTTTCACCAAAACCTATTTGTTTATTCTTTTGGCAACCCATGGTATTTTCAGTACTCCAACAACACAACTCAAAGGCATTGATTCACCTGTCATCCTTAATCACTCTCCAACTTTCACAGCAAGTAAATGGAAAAGAGCACAGCTTGGATTACGAGCACTTTTTGGCTTTAAACTGACACCGCTGCTCTCCAACACTCTGAAATGTCTTTGACAGCAGACTTTCCCAGTGTAATATGTTTTGATTTCTTGACTGCTGACACCAAGGTTACTGATTTTGAATCCATGGAAGATGAAATTATTGATAGTTTCAATCTTTTCTCCACCTATCATGAAGTTGTCTATTGGTCCAGTGGTGAAAATTTTGTTGATGAGTCTTCCTCTAATCCTGATGCCACATTCTTTTTTTTTTCTCTTTTTATTGTGATTTTAACGAAAGCTTAGAGAAAAGTTAGAATTTTCATTCATTCATTGTTGCATACTTTCCTTCCTAACCCCCTTCAGTGTGCTTTAAAAAAAATAAATAAAATAAAAAGTATGAATTGTTGCTTAATTTCCTCCCTCCCCGAGTCTACTTTGCTATGTACCTCTTATTCTGGACTGCTGTCATGCAAATAATACCTAATCATATATTCCTTTTAAACAGTTCTTTCCTTCCTATGTTCCAATTTAATGTTCATTATTTATCCCTTTTTTTCCTTAGTTTCCTTCCAATCTCCATGTCAAAAAACTTGTCCAGTGGGGTAAAAAAAAAACCCAGACTGGAAAATAGTATTTGGTAATGACATATCTGATAAGGGACTCGTGTCTAAAATTTATATAGAATCCTCCAGCACCTGAACAAGAAAAAGGTAAATAACCCAATTGCAAAATAAGCACAGGATGTGAAGAAACACTTCACCAAAGACAACATTCAGATTGCAAACAAACACATGAAGAAATGGACAAAATCCCTAGGTCTGAGATATAAATCAAGACAACTAAGAGGTATCATCTCACCCCAGTAACAAAAACAAAGTTCAACTGAGCAGCAAACAAGAAATGCTCATGAGATTGTGGAGAAATTAGGATTTCTTATTCACTACTGGTGAGAATATAAAATGGTGCAACCATTATGGGAGGCAGTATGGTGCTTTCTCAAGAAGCTGGTAATAGAAATACCATATGATCCATCAATTCCACTACTACAAATATACCCTAAAGAGACCAGAGCTGCCATCTAAGGAGATATATGCACACCCATGTTTACTGCTGTGTTATTCACAATAGCAAAGAGATTAGAAGCAATCCAAGTGCCCATCAACAAATGAATGGATAGGAAAAAATACAGTCTTTTCACACAATGGAATACTACACAGCACTGAAAAACAAGGAATAAAACATTATACTACATGGGTGACCTAAAAGATAAATACTGAATAATGCCACTGTTTATAAAACAGGACTGATGTCACATTCTTCATCAAATTCAAGCCTCAAGTACATGCATACCAAAGGGTGTCATGGGCAAAATTTCGAATGATACAAGAAGCATCAAAAGAAGCTGAAAGGAATACAGGGCCACTGTATCAAAAAGAATTGGTTAACACAGAGCCATTTCAGGAAGTGACATTATGACCAGGTACCAACTGTATTAAAGGAAGACGTTCAACTTTCATCGAAAGCACTGGCAAAAAATAAAACCCCAGAAATTTACGTAATGCCAACTGGCATGTTCCAACAAACAGATGCAGCCTTGAACATGCTCGTCAAAGCTGTGCCAAGAAATCTGGAAGACAGTTACCAAACCAAGTGACTGGAAAAGATCCACATTTGTTCTCACTAAAAAAAAAAAAAAAAAAGGCAATACTCAGTCCCACAAGAATAAATATTGTATAAATCCATTATTGTAGGTATAGGAGGATTGAAAGGGGGGGTAGGGACTGGAAGCAGAGGGATGAAGATACGTGGGGGGAATTAACCATGGGTTGTACAATTTGTTGGGTGGGGGGGAGGTGAGGGATACTGAAAGAACCTGGTATGAAAAACAATATATTAGAATTTAGTAAATAAACTACTATAATAAAAAAAAAATTAAAAAATGGTGATCCCACAGAATGTGGAAATTATCAAACAATAATATCACATGTGAACAAAATCGTGCTAAACATTATCCAAAAATAATGGCTAGAACAGTACATCAACAGAGAACTGTCAAAAATCCAAGTAGGATTTAGCAGAGGCCATAACACCAGGGATATCACTGCTGATGTCAGATGGATCATGGCTGAAAGCAAAGAATATCAAAAAAACATCTGAGTTTTACAGACTATGCAAAGGCATTTAACTATGTGGATCACAACCAATTATGGCTAACACTGAGAAGAATGGGAAATCTCTGAACACTTAATTGTGCTCTGGGACTTCATTAACTGTGCTCTAAGTTTCACTTAGTGTGAAACCTTACATACATTAAAAAGCTGTTGTTCAAACAGAACAAGGGAACAATGTATGGTTTAAAATTAACAAAGCTGTGTATAGATTACTATCATAAAATAACTGGCATATTCTAATTCTCTAGTCCCTGAGTTTATGTTTTGTTTTATAAACAATTAACAAACTATATCACAGCAATATGACAATTCTGGTCCTTCAATTTCTAAACATAACTGGTGTGTTTCACAATTTCAGTAAATATTTTAAAATATCAAAACAGTATCCCAAATTGTACCCCAACACATATGTCTAATATTCAAAACCTGCTACAATCTGATCCTTGCACTACTGCTTCATAAGGAGGCTTAGTGACAAAAAACTTAAGCACCTCACTTGCTATTAAGTTAACTTGAACTCACCAGTGGCTTCACAGAAGGACCTGGTGATCTGCTCTCATAAAAATTCAAAATTTCAAACCCAAACTCACAGCCATTGACTCAATTCTGACTCTCAACAAGCTTTAGTCAAGTTTCTGAAGCTGTAAGTTACAACTAGAGGAGACTGCCCACCTTTCTCCGTCAGAGCAACTGGCAGATTTGAACCATCATAGAGAAACATGGCCTTTGGGCCATGCCGAGTCAGAATTAACCAATAACTTAAACTGACCCTCCAGAGGGTTTTCAGTGGCAGTATATCTTACAGGAGGAGATTAATCATCCTCTTCTTCCAGTGCAGATGGATTCAAATTTCATGATTTGGGGGGGATTGCAGCACATCTTCTTACCACTAGGCCACCATAGCTCCCTACTAATGATAGTCAAATAGAGGTAAGAAATGGTGGAAAGGGCAGCAGAATCCAGAAGCAAAGAAATAGCAACATGCCAAAGTATGTGAAACAAAGTTTCACCACCCTTGCCTCTAAAAAACACCCTGGTTACAATTTCTATGAGACATACTTGTTTGGGTTTTGGCAGTCTATGGCATATTCACTAATTTTCTCCAAAACTACAACTCAACGGTATCAATTCTTCTGCCATCTTTTTTCACTGTCCAACTTTCAGAAGTAAAGAAACTAATTGAAAAATACTAGCCTTGGATTACACACACTTTAAACTGCTATTCTTTAGCATTCTGTAGAGATCCTTGACAGCAGATTTTTCTAATGCCTTTGATCTCTTGACTGTACCAACTGTGTGGACTGTGGATCCAAATAAGATGAAATAATTGACAACTTCAAGCTTTTCTCCATATTATCATTAATACCTATTTGTCCAGCGATGAGGATTTTTCTTGATGTTTAGATGTAATCTATATTAAAGGCTTTGATTTTATGCAGCAAACATCTCAGGTTGAGTCTTCCTCCAATCTTGATGCCACATTCTTGGTAAAGTTCAGCTTCTTGATGATTTGCTCGCCATACATATTGAATAGGCTGATGCCACATTCTTCTTTCTGAAGTTCAACTTCCAGATGATTTGCTCTGCATACAGATTGAATAAGCAAGGAGAAAGGATACAGTCCTGATGTACAACTTTCTTGATTTTAAATCATGACGTATTGGCAATAATTCATTTCAAGAATATACTATACAGCAAGTATTCAACTGATGGTAATCTTTCTAGTCAGGTGTTTAAAATGATAAAAAGGATACTAGATATGACATCAAACCTATAAGGAGAATAAGAATTATTTCTTCAGTATTTGAAGCAGGAGTAGCATCCAATTTCTAAACAACATGCCTCTGGAAACTCTATGAACTTTGCGAAATGTAGATAGTTGTAAAAGGGATTCAGGCCTCTTGTTCATAGGGTTGCTATGAGTTGCAATGAAGGCAATCAACAACAATAATTTATGAGTGTAGCAAAGAGTCTAAGAAATTATGATTGAAATAGGAAAAACTTATTTTATAAATTTCACAAATATGACAGGTAAAGAATGTCACAAACATACTTGGGGGTTTTTAGTATTGTTATGAACCAATTTGCTATTTAAATGAAAGGTGACCTCCAAGAGTAGGTTCAATTCAAACTTAAATTATATCTCAAGGTGTTCATCAAAGAGATTCAGTTTATCTAGTCTTTACCAGTACAGTGAGCTTAGATTGTTCAGTATTCTCATTTTGCCCTACATTTTTCTCCTGTTCTCTCAGAGTTCATCTACTGTGTCGCTCATCAGAACAGTTGGCAATGATAAGCATCAATCGATATATTTGTTAATCAAACTTTAACAAAGTAGACTACAATTTTAAAGGACTAACAAGTTACAATAATGAAAATAGAATCTGTTTCCTGTGTAAATATAAACAATTTCATAATATTGGACTTTTGGGTCTTCTTGTTGCTGTTGTTATGTGCCATCAAGTCAACGGACTCATAGCAACCCTATGTATAACAGCTCTGAACCCTGCTCTATCTTGAATCAACTTCACTGTCTCTGACACACCTACCACACTAGTCACTGAATTAATCCATCTCATCCTGGGTCTTCCTCTCTTACACTATCCCTCCACTGTTTCAAGCATGATGTCTTTCTCCAAAGACTGGTCCCTCACTGCAACATGGCTAAAGTATGTTAGATGAAGCTTCAGAATCCTTGTCTCCAAGGAGCAGCCTGGATGGTTTCACCCTCTCTAGGATGAACATAATATATTACATAATACATTATGTATATTATGAGCATTAGTACATGCTGTTAGGTGCTATGGTATATTCATTACTCTTCTGCAGCACTACAAATAAAAGGCATCGATTCTTCTTCTGTCACACTTAGTCACTGCCCAGATCTCTGATGCATAGCAAGTAATTGTGAAGACCATGGCCTGAATCAGGCGCACCTTAGTCTCCAGACTGACACCACTGTTCTTCAAAGATCCCTGACAGTAGATTTTCCACAATGCAATTTGTCTTTTGATTTCCTGGCTGCCAAGAAACCTGTGGAGCCAAGCAAGCTGAAGCTGTTAACAATTTCAAGTTTTCCTAATTTAAGCACCCTGCCACTGACAATTTGCTCATTAAACAAATACTACGTATTATTGTTGTTGTCAGCATTACATCACCCTTTACTATGCAATAAATACTTTTATCTATAAAAATGATACTGATTTAAAAACATATAGGTAGGCCATTGTATATCTTAAAAATTAAAGCATAAAAGATTTCACCCAAAAGAACACTTTTGGTACACACTAGGAGCATATTTAAATGAAAAGGTAGGATGAACAAGGTAAGCCTCTAGTATCTCAAATTCTGTATTATGTGCAGTGCTATAAGTGCGGCAATAGCTGGAACTTTGGCACACTTTAAAGATTTTAACAGAAAAAAGAGTAACTATAGGTATAGCAGAGACAAACATTCCAGATACAGATTATCTTAAATTTCTAGCTAATTCACAAAACAATCTGCAGGTATTTTTCATGCCAAAATAGGTTAGTAAGTAAAATACTTTAACCACATGTTATATCAAATACATGAGGCAGCTAGCTCCTCTGTGTCTTATACTGTATAACTTAAAAACAGGTTCATTGGTATGTAAAGGTTAGATGAATCAACAGCATCCAATATTAACAACAAAGTATCATTTGCTGTCAAGCAAAACTAATCCAAACCAAAACATATTGCCGCTGGCTCATAGTGACCCTTGCAGGGCAAAGAATTGCTTAAGAATGAACAATATTCACAGAAGCAAACTACCTCATACATCTCCCACCAGGGACTCATGGGTTGAATTCTCTTTGGTTAATGCCTCAACTGCAGCACCACCACAGTTATGTATAAAACATACCATCTCTGCATAGAATTCAAGACCTTATGAGAATGTCCACATTAACTGGTTCTACATAAACCCAGCTGCACATTAACATCACTTCTAGGAATTTTAAAAATATAGGTATGTCAGCTGAATCAGAATAATGGAAAGAAGCTGAACCAGTAGATATTTTAAAAACCTGAATGATTCTAAAGCAGAGAATTATCAACAAGACTATAGATAATTCTAAAATCCATTCGGCTAGCCAATCAAATCATATTCCCTTCCATCTTTCTATATAAACACGTGTGTACACATAATATGTCCATTAGTACACACAGTTAGGTGCAGTCCAGTCATCTACAATTCATCCTATCAATAGGATTGATGTTTATAATCAAACTCTAGTACCACTACTGTTGAGTCAGAACCCACTTAAAGCTGACCTTCCAGAAGGTTTAATTACATTAGAGGAAACCACCAATCTTTTGCCCCTGGAGGGGACATGGTGGATTTGAGCCAGAGACACTGTTTTAGGATTAATAAGGCAATTCCCTATGAATTAGACCATCAGGATTCCCTAAAGCATATTAATTCCAATATACTCTTGCTATGTAATGTAGAGTCAGAACCCACTCTGAGGCCCCTCCAGAAGGTCTGAAAGGCAATAAACCCTACGGGAGAAGATTGTCCACGAACCGAGTGCCTGTCGTTTGGCAGGAAGCTCCTTATCATTAGGCCACCAGAGTTCCCTACAGTTAATATGTTCCTAGGGACCACAAGTAGTACAGTACGACTCATAGCGGCCCCATGAACAGACCTGAACCTTGACCTGTCCCGTGCCATCCTCACTCTCCCTGATATACTAGAGCCAACTGCTACAGTTGCTGTGTCAATCCACTTCCTCTCTTTCTCCACTTTTCCTAGCACGGTGTCCCTTTCCAAGGACTGGTCCCTCCAACAACATGGGAAGTATGCAAGATGAACTTCTCCAACCTCGCCTCTAAGAATCACCTTGGCTCCACTTTCTAAGAACAGGTTTGCATATATTTATTTATTCATTCATACACACACACACACACACACACACACACACACGAAAAGCAAAGCGTAGTGGTGAAAAGTATACTAAAAGTCACTCAGATCTGGCTCTAACATGCAGAGTTAACCGAAAAATCTACTTTTCTTTTTTGTACCATGGGGATGAAATTGTCTAGTCAACATCAACATCTAAAAACCTAACATAATACCCAGCATAATAATAGCTAGAATGTAAAGAAAACAAGCAAATCAATGCCTATTGACCTGAGAACCACTGAGCCCGGTCATTTCCATGAACCCACATACTCCTTTATATTCCCGCTGGCGACGCCAAAGCACACAGTCGTCATAACCTGAACAGGCAACTTCAGACCAGTGTGTATACAAATTATGGGGAGGCAGTGCCTGACGAGCAAAAATAGGCCCAGAGGCCTCGCATTACGCTCATACAAGCCTGGGCAGAGGCGACGGCCTTAGTTTTCCAAGCTGAGGCCAACGGAGGAGAACAGAGGACGCAAGGTCCCTCACCTTCACCATAGCTGTCCCCCGGCTGCCCTGCCGGCCACTGTCTAGTCCCGCTCCAGGCTTGTTTACAATCAGGGCAGCCATCCCAGGAGGAGAGAGGCCGCAGAAGCAGCTCTCGCCGCCTTCTGCCGAGGCGGATCCCAGGCACCTACCCAGACGCCTCCGCGCAGGCCGCTCGCGCGCAGACGCTGTACGACATCGCCGCGCGCGCTTCTAGGTCTCTTCCCCGCATCCACCCACCCATTCTGAATGAATCAGACAGTGTTTTCTGCGTCAACTTGTTATATATTTTTTATTATTCAGGTGCCTGGATGACGTCTAGAGAAGTCCATAGAAAAATATTCATATTGAAGAAACGTTTTGGGGTGAAATTTAGTTGTGCCCTGCACGCTCATAATTAAAGAACTATATTTCCCTACATGCCACATGTTTCTAATACACTACAAGTTCCAGCATGCCACACGATCCCATTTTCTTAATCCTGTTATACACTCTTAAGAACCTTGTATAGTTACTAAGGAATCGCGATTCCTGATTGTGGATGGATAACTGTGGATGAGGAGTATTTAAAAAAAAAATTAATGGCCTTGGTAAAAAGAAGCCGTAGAGTGTCGAAGGAACAGCATTTAAGACACTAGCGGCAAAAAAACCTGGAGGGAGTGCATTTTGCGCCTGGTCTTGCTGGACGAGCTCTTTATTGTTTCCTTCCGGGCTAATTTGAACCTCCTCAGCCCCCGTAGGCTGATGTCCAAAGTGCCGATCAAGATGGAAGTTAATCCCCCCAAACAAGAACATCTGCTGGCGTTGAAAGGTATGCTATTGCGAATCAGGAGCCCTATTTAATGGTTTTTTACCTTTTCTCATAACTTGCAGAGTCTTTCTTGACCGCGTAGATCTGTCTTCTGGAAAATAGACCTCCTCCATCAGAGCCCTCTTTCCTGCTCTGTTCCTTGAAACTAGGTCTGAGGAAGCGAAAGCTGCAGAAGCTGATGTACTGGGAGTAACATTTCAACCTGTCTGGGGTTGGAAATTGTGTTTCTTTCTCTTGGTTCCGTGTGACAGTGACGAAGTTTCTAGGTTTCGTTTTATTTTAAATTTGTCTAGTACTTCAAGAAAATGTGTCGACACAGTGATTGTAGCAATGGGCCCGATTATATTAGGGATAATGAGGATAGGGCAGGGATCAGATATGGTCGGCAATGAGTCAGCAGTGGACTCCAGGGCACCTAACAACAACCACCAATAATTACATGATCTCAAGAGTTTTGAAATTCACAGCTTCACAACATATATATGTTGTGTTGTTATGTGTCGGCCAGACCCTGCCCTGTCCTGAGACAGTCTCACTAATTCCTACAAACCAACCCCCCCATCCCCCCCAGTCACTGTATCAATCCATCTCATCCAGAGTCTTCCTCTCCTGCCCGCCCTGTCCATCTTTCCAAGCATGATGCCTTTCTCCAAGGACCGATCTCTCCTGGTGACGTGCCCAAAGTAGGTGAGGCGGCACTTCAAAATCCTAGCCTTCAAGGAGAGACTTGGTTTCACCCTTTCCAAGACAGACCTGTAAGATTTGTTAATACTTAACTAGCCGTTTCACTTCACTAAAGTGTGTTGATGGGACATTTTCCTCCAAAATCTCATGTCGTTTCATTTTCTTTATAAAGTTAAACATTTTTAATATGTGTAGTGATTTAATTGGGTAATTATTTTGGACAACCGAGTTTTTCTGAAATTCCTATTTTCTAAGCAGTTATATTTTCATATCATATTTGCTTCTTGTTAGCACAAATACACTTATATATCTTGGATATTTTTATGTCTGGTTATTACTGCCATCTTGGAGTGAGCAGAGGAAATGCTCACTAGACGTTTTAATTCAGTTGAATGAATTTACCTTTCTTATGACATCCATATTTAGGGACCCTATTCCCTTATTCTGACTTAGGTATCAAGCATTCCAGAACTTCCCAGGTTCATATGAAACTAGGAAAAGGGTATTGACATGGTTGGTTGTTTTTACTTAATTTTACATCAAGTATGTGAAATAAATACTTATCTGTCAAATTAAGTCACTTTTCCAAGATTAGATACCTAATAAGGGACAGAGGCATTATTTTAACACAAGCCATATTCCTGTTTGCAAGATGCCAAATGATATAATAGAGGCAACAGCATTTCCAGGGATCGTTATGGCTTTGATGGGAATTTCTAATATTTCTATTGACTGCTGGATATGATTTTATAAAAATGAAATGCTACTAAACACAGAAGAATACCCTCAAATGAGACAGATTATCACTTGATTAACAGTGGGCTCAAGTATCAGAGATGGTGAGGATGGCACAGGTTCATAGAGTCAGTCAACTGGACAGCACACAACTAAAGACTGTTGAATTGCAGCCCTATAGAAACTAGTTGCAATTGGTATGTTTCTATTTTTTTTTGTTGTTGTTATTTCTTTTCCAAAACAAAAGATTTCTGGGAAAGAGTATTTTAGCAGCCTACGAGAATCCATGCTTTGAAATTCACTGATAGTTTCATTTTACAGAAGCACTTTAATTCTTTTTGCCCTAGTTATTCAAGAATTTTTACAAGTTTTTATTTTTTTATCATAGAAATAGCTAGTCATTTATACCTACTGTTTCCTATTTTAATATCTAAACAATTGAGCCAATATCTTGTAAGTCTTGAAAAGAATTTTTTTATTAGAAGACTCTCACATAATTTCACTTATCCTTCGAATACCCCAGTGCATAAGTTGAGGCAACAGTGACTATCTTAATTGTTTGAAAATGGAATGATGGTCCCAAGGCAAAAAAGTAAAACCGTGTTTAATTCTGGAAAGATGTTGTTCTTGTTGTTATGTATCATCAAGTCACAACCGACCCATAGCTGATCCTCTGGAGGGTTTTCAGAGGCAGTTAATCTCATGGGAGGAGACTGCCCGTCCTCTCGCAGAGCTGCTGGTGGCCTCAAACCCCTTGCCCTTGGGATTGCATCAAGGCTTCTTGCCACTAGGCATTTCATAGAAAATGTAAATGTTGAGGAACATACTCATTTAAGACTCTTTGAGATGTCAGTTATCTTAGTGGACATTATAAATAGGTCAAAAATCATAATGAGATGAGCTATTCCTCTGACTCTTAAGACTGTGAAAGTGATCAAATTAATCTTAGTAATTCATTCTCTAATAGGTTTTAAGGAAAGGATTCAGTCTCTGCCCCCCCCCAGACAGACTGAAAAGAGCCTGCATCATGGTTCTGGAAGCTTTGTCTGTTGGGAAAACCTAATATACAGGCTCTGAAAGATTCCATTCTTGAGCCTGTACGCTATGTGCAGAAACTTGTTTTCAGTTACTTAATTTGAGGCAATATGAAGACTTTTATATAAGGGGGGTTAATGAGAATCTATAATAGTTTCTTTCTGAATGACTATGGTACTAACAGTCTCAATACTGCATTAAGTGTCTCAGTTAAGTGGGGAGACTGTGCCAAAATTAGTTTTTTGCCTGGTTAAAATACAGTTAAACCGTATGTATGTTTTTTGTGTTTACTTCTGAGATTTTGAAAAAATAATTATTCTGACTTTATACTTAATTAGTGTAGTTTATTTCATTTTGAGGTATAAAATGTCCAGTTTTATTCCAGATAGATTGAAAATCCCAGTGATTTTCATTGTCTTCAATTCAGATGTTTCACTCTTTGAAATATTATTGTATTTTTTTTCTTAGTTAACCTCATGTGAATTTAGGATTTCAAGAATTACTGATTTACTCATTGTCTATGCTGTTATCATAAGATTATTATGACTTACTAAAATTGATACATCCAGAGACTTTTTACCTGTTGAGTCAAACTTGTTGACTACTAGGAATTTGAAACTAGAGTTAATCTTACAGGGTATCTGATTCAAATTCTGAATTTAGGTGAGAGAGAATTTTTTTTAACTTGTGTGTTGCTTTCATATTTATCAATAGTCACATTGATCTATTGTTTTCATGTTTATTTTCCTTCCTACCTATTTAAACAATATCTACTATATCTTATTGTTTGCAATACTTCCACTTTAGGTCCTGTTTCCCTCTGAGTTGGAAAGAGAAACAATATTATAATTATAAATTACATTCTAGCTCTGAGAAGCTCAGCTAAAAAAATTCTTCTACTTCAAAGTAAAAAGTGGATTACTGCAGAATGACCACAGAAGTAATACTATATTATCGACCAGAGAGTGATCCCACACAACTGCCAAAAATTACAGAACAAGTAATTCAAGACTTTCCTACTCGTCCACTGTCAAGATTTATTCCTTGGTTTCCACATGATAGATCTAAATTTATACTTAAACCTGAAAGATCACCACCTGTGATTTCTGACGAAACAGCTGAAGAAGTGAAACATGATTTTACCATTTTAGAACATGAAGTTACATCACAGAGTTATGATTGCACATTATATCTATTGGAGTTTCAGCCCAATTTAAAAATAAAGAGACACTTACTCCAGCCACACACACTGAATGGACATACTAATTCTGGGAATCTGGATAAACAATCAGGAAAACAAAAGCAGCACCGACAGAGATCTTGGAGTGTTTCTGTTCCTAACAGCAGTTGCCCTGAAAATATTTTTCCTTTATCTAAAAAATTGCAAGATACTGTAAAAGCACTGGATTTGAACTCTTTTTATAGAGCAAGATGGACAATAGAACATGCTATGTGTGACAGCCAAACTCTAGAAGACATTTGGGTAAAACTCAGTCGAATTATCAGGCACAATGAACTTCCATCTTGCAATGCTACAATTCAGAGACATTTAGGCCAGATATGGGTATTCTGTGATATTATGTACTGTGAATATGTGGGAAGTCTTCTTAAAGAAAGATTAGCTCTTACTGGAAAAATCTATTTATTTGTGCGTAAATACGGTGTTATTTTTAGTATGTAGTGCCTTTGACTGAATGACCAGAAAGATAGTCTCTGTGAACTAAATATGATTATTCATGTTGGGATGAATTATTTTTTGCTACTTTGAGGTTTTAAAGATAATTATTATTTGATCCCTTCACCAATACAATTTATTTATTCTTAATCTTAGGGGTAGAAGGGGAATTATAAATCTCAAAAAAAGTGCACCTATACATTATACAGAAATGAATACAATATGTGTATATTTTTCACAAATAATGCATATGCTGTTGGTGATACTACTTAATTTCATCATTTCTGCACACTGTATAGATAAGTTGTTTACAGGAACACTGTATGTGAAAATATGATATTGATTGAATTTAAGCTGTTGATTAGGCCTCTTATATGTAATACCCTTTTAAATGACTCATAATAAATTATTGTTTAAACTTGAAGTTAAAATACTTCTTTTTAATCTGTTACTTAACCATTGACTAAACTGATCAATGGTAAATTTCAATTTTGGCTAATTCTTAAAAATCTGATTTTACCGTATTTTTTTCTTTACTCAAAAATGTAATAGTACTTTAAAAAAAAAGTTAAACCAGTTTATAAGATTTAGGCTCTATGGCTTAGTGGTAAGGAATTGTGCTGCCAGTGCATAGGTACAAATCTACCAGTGCCTCCATGAAAGAAAGATGGACAGTGTCCTCCCATGCAATTTACTGCCTCTGAAAACTCACTGGAGGGTCAGCAATGAGTTGGTTCCGACTACATGGTATACATCATCTACAATGGGAATACTACTTAAATGGCATAGATATATTTCAAAGTTTTAAATGTGTGCCATCAAGTTGGAACCAATCCATAGCTGACTCTCCAGTGGTGTTTCAGAGGCTGTAAATCACATAAGAGGAGACTGACAATCTTTCTCCCCTGGAGTCACTGGTGGATTTGAACTGCTAGCCTTTGGATTGCAGAACTCCTGAACAACTAGGCCATCCATCAGCCCAAATTCTTACTGATGCCTTCCAAAGATATAATAGGTAGTGACTCATGTATTAAGGCGTAGTAAAAAACTAAGATTTGTTGAACATCATAATGTATCTGGAAGGCTATAACCATTATTTTTAATCCTAAGTTATTCATTGTTTATTCTAACACAGGCTATTTGATTTTAATAATTATTTATACTGATTATTACTTGGCTGGATCAATTGTGAGATTAACCTTGTTTCCTATAAGAAGCAAAATGTTGTAAATTTAGTTTGCTCATCACCTTGGGAACTTGCCCAAAGTGATTATAGAATAAAGTGGCTATTATAAAAGCATCTAAGTCTGTATTTACTTAACATATTTGATTGTCTCCCTTTTTTAAAATTATAATTTACCAGTTGGCAGCATTATGATAGATGGTGAGGAGACTGAGATTGTTAACAGCTTTAGTTTGCTTGGTTCCACGATCAACACTCTTGGTACCAGCAGCCAGGAAATCAAGAGATGAATTACATTGAGAAAATTGGCTGTCAGGGTCCTCTCCAGAATACTAAAAGCAACAACGTCAGGCTGGAGACTAAGGTGCACCTGATCCAGGATGTAGTCTTCACAATTATTTGCTGTTTGTCAGAGAGCTGGATAATGACTCGGGATAATAGAAAGAGAATTGATGCCTTTGAGCTGTGGTGCTGGAGAAGAGTGTTGAATATACATATGATGGACTGCCAGGAGAATGACGGCACATAGCAACCATGAGCTTTTATTGTTGTGGTTGTTGCCTGTTGAGTCAGACCAACTCATAGCTGACCCTTCAGTGGGTTTTCAAAGGCAATGAATCACATAGGAGAAGATTGCCCACCATTTTCCCACAGAGCCGCTGGTGGATTTGAACTGTGTACCTTTGCGATTGCAATGAAACTTCTTAATACTAGGCCATCTGAGCGTCTTAACAAGTGCTAGGATATAGTATGAAGCTTACATGCAATTAACTGTTGGTTAGGTGCCTTGAGAGGAATCCAACTTAACAACAGATCAGAACCCTAGTAGATCCTGCACAAGGACTCACTCCTCCTTATACCTCAGATCTTTGACAGCAAATTTGCTGGACCAATAGGCACCATAAAGGCAGGTGAAGTAAAGGTTGAAGTTGTCAATAATTTCACTTTATTTGGATCCACAATTAACACTCATGGTAGTTCTTGTTATGTGCCACTGAATCAGAACCAGTTTATAACTGACCCTCCAGCAGGTTTTCAGAGGCTGTAAATTGCATGGGAAGAGACTTCCCATCTTTCTTAAACCACATGTCTTTGGGAACCCTAGTGGCCCATGTTGAGGAGCTGCACTGTCAACGGCACATAATAGTAGCATAGTGCTAAAAAAAGCAAAAATGTCAGTTTAAAAACTAAGGTGTGTCTGACCTGAGCCACAGTATTTTCCATTTCTCCTAGGCATTTGAAAGTTGGTAAGTGAATAAGTAAGACCAAGAAACAAGTGCTACTTTTGAATTGTGGTGTTGGGGAAGATTATTGACTCTTGGATGTCCATGGATTACCAAAAGAATTAATAAATCAGTCTTGGAAGAAGTCCAGGCAGAATGCTTTTAGAGGCAAGGATAGTGAAACTTTGCCCCATTCTTCGGGCATATTGTCAGGAGAGGGGCCAGTCCTTGGAAAATGACATTGTGCTGGGAAATATAGAGGGGTCGTTGAAAGAGAGGAAGACCTTTGATGAGTTGAATTAACATGGTGACTACAACAGTAGACTTGAGCATGATTTAGATCATGAGAATGGCACAGGGTAAGGCAAGTTTCTGTTCATAAGGTTACTATGAGTCGTAGTTCACTCAACAGCACCTAATATATTGTTTGATTTCTTGACTGCTGCTTTTTGAGTGTTAATTGAATAGCCAAGTAAAATTAAATTCTTAACAATTTCAGTCTTTTTACCCAAAGCAACCATGATGTTGTATGGATTTTGGGTTTTTTATGTTGATGTGTAACTCATGCTGAAGACTGTAGTAAGTATTTGAAGCCCTCTTCACTTTCAGCAAGCAGGATTATGTCAGCAGCATAACTGTCACATAGTCAAGCCAAATTCCTTAAAAACCCAGTACTTACTACAGAGGCAGATGCCATGTTTACCTTGTAGCACAGTCACCATCACAGCAGGAGCCCAGAAATCAATGTGATAGTTGAGCCAAGGTCAATGTGCCCTTTGGATGAATTCTTAAAGGTGTGTTCTGGTGGAAGTTGCTCAAAATGTATACATTCATGGCTTTAAATCCACCTAAATACCATTTCCTTCTTAATTACTTTTAGTACTCTTTTATAATGTCCCAAAAGAGACTTCTGCCTAGAAAAATAATCATTTTGTGTATGTATGAATACTTCCAAAAGCCTTTGAGAGGGGGAAAAAAAATTTAAACAGAGGCAGTTTCCAAAGCAACATTTTCAATCATTCATTCCTTTTCTAATTCAAACATCATCTTCTTCCACTAAGACTCCTACCTTGGAACATACGTTGGACCTGTTGCTAGGAGAGGCTATTCCTTGGAGAGGGCATCATGTTTGGAAAGGTAGAGGGAAGGTTGACAAAAGAGAGAAAAACAGCCAGATGGCTTGACACAGTATCTGCAGCTTTGGGCTTAAGTGTGTCAGAGATGGTGAGGATGGCACTGAATAGGTCAGGGTTCAGATCTGATGTTCTTAGGGTCACTGATTTGTTGTATTCGACACAGCGGTACCTAACAGCAAGGCTCCTAGAGTAACCTTAATATGTAAATAAGTTTTCGGACATTACTAGGCAACCATACATGGTAGGTTTCATTTTAATTACTTAGCTTTGTTTTTCACCATGAGATTGCCCTGGGTTAAAAGGTAGGTAATTAAAGAGTATGCTCACTTGCACAAAATGCATTTTTTTAAATCCAGATTTCTTACTTCAAAATGATGGTACATAGAGTTTAAAGTTTAAAGTATAGTCTATTTTCATAGGAACAGTCTTCTCAGGTGTTTATTAAATGAACAATCACACATTAAAATGATACTTTGTGTTCTAGCTTTCTGAAAAACAATAAAAAGAATTACAGAGTGAGAAATGCAAAGCTGAATGGTCCCATTATCTTAAAAGAAGATAAATTCACTTCTCATCTGTCGAGACAGAACTTAAGTAATTGCAGCTTGAAAAATAATTGAAATCTCCTGTTACTTTTTTGGAGTCTTCTTCGAGTATTTATGACCTTAGGGTGATGCAGTGGTTAAATGCTCAGTAACTAATCAAAATTGCAGAGGTTCAAACTCACCGCTGTTCTGTTGGAGAAAAGTAGTAGCTGGCTTCCCTAAAGTAAACAAAATTGGAAACCGAAGGGCAGTTCTACACTATTCTTTTTTTAATTTTATTTTATTAATTTTAATGAAAA